CCAGCCGCTGCTGGCTTCTGCTGCTACTCCTCGTGCTACTAGTGCTGGTGTTGCTGCTACTACTACTACTACTACTACTACTACTACTACTGCTACTGCTACTGCTACCGCCACCGCCATGTCGCGCGAAAGTGAGGGCGAAAGTCAGGGGAAGGAAAGCAATATTCCGCGAGAGGAACCATTTCCGCAGGAGGGAATATTGATCAACGTGTATACGTAGAGAGATGCTAGACTTCTACTTCCGCAGAATCGATGCAAGCTGCCAGGGCTGTCCCTTCTTTGTCTGAGGCAACGAGAGCTTCCTACTGGATCAGAGGCTGCAGTCTGTGGCCCGCACGCTGAGAGTTGGCTCACCAACGAAGACGCCTGACTGCAGCAGGATGCTGACCCCAGTAAGTTTTCTCTTTCGCGGAGCATCCCAGCTAGTTGTCTCGAGCGCACAAGAGGGGATGTCTCACATCTCTCATCACAGCGGGAAATTGTTGCGGCTTCAGCTGACTCACGATGCGTATTTGGGTGGCCACGCGCCACCGCGTTCGAAGCCCCTTGCAGTCTCATGTACGACAGCATTCACTCGCTATAGTGCCTTCGCGTGACGTAAGGGACTTCTTGATGAAGCTGTCCTTGTGCGTTCCTTGCGGCCAGTTCGAGAAGTTCGGAGACCAGAATCAAGGCAAGGTAATGTGAGTATGTCTGACGACAGTATCTATCAGCAAAATGTTGATAGGTCATGCAGACATACAGACCGGGATGGTACAGAGTACCTTCAGCAACATCACTCGTCGTCGCATGCCGTCAACACAGCTGCACATGCGAACTTCAGATATTGGTGACGCGCACACCGTTGCCGGAAACCGGACTGGCGAGAATGACCCAAGTGGCAGGTTATGTGATGTGCACTGAAGACTTGGACCGCGGCACCATCGCAGCAGCCTATTCCTACGGTGTTGATGGCCACGACCTCAGCGCGGGCTCACTGTAGCAAAGCCACGTCGGTCTGGTGCAGGCAGTTTACAGAGTGGCAATCAAGCGCGCGACCCTTTGCAGGCAACGACTCGTGGGGAACGGATATGGCATCCAGATTTGGATTTGCCGTGCATGAATATGCTCATCAGCTGCATGAAGATTTTGAACGAGATGTTGATAAAGGTCCACAGTCGACATGATTGGGTCAGTCTCTTTCACAGGCAAAGGACTGTGGAGAGCCTCGTCGACCCCTGGTCTGCAGCGGCTGCCACATGAATTTCCACACCGCACCTCGCTCGCAGAGGAAGCCTTGGACAAAAGCTTCCGGTCTTACTACGTACTAAGTTTCGGAAGAAATTGTTTGCTCAACTCAGGACTGCACGGTGGGTGCACGTGGGCCGCTGGCAAACTCCAAGATCAAGACCCTCACACAGTCCACGACTCAGCTTCAAGTGATCGGCTGTGCGGCTGTGTAGCACATACGAGCCTCAGAAGAATGGGTCGTAGGCTGCTGGAAGGACACTGATGGACGCAGAATGATATTAATTAGAGGTGGACACAAGTTGCAGGAAGGTGCTGAACATGAGTGGATGCAGGAGCTGCGCAGTGTGTGCTTTGCTGCAGCGGCGGCTCAAGCGTCCTCTTGATCCTGTCACGGCTAGTGAGGTGCCGAGCTTGCTGTGTCAGATATGGCAGATGGACGCGAGAATCCAGAGGGATTTGAGGATGACACGCTGCCGGAGGAAGAGGAGGCGCCTCTGAACAGCACCGGAGATGACGAGGATGAAGGAGAGGATCTCCTCGGGGACAACATGATGGA